AGATAGCCCTCGTGTAGCTTTGCGCCAAATTCAAACAAACAAACAAACAAATCTGTCAAAACATAGAAATATTCACGACATTTAATACTAAATATAGACATTTAATTGGTATTGACCTGCTATCATAATCATATCCATAACATTATCACTTGTGCAAAGAGTGTAATTACTGTGGTTTTAAAAGTTGTAGTAAAACATGTGAAATTTGATATTTTCAGTCTAAACGGTACCTTATATGCGACACTTGAGATAAATGGGCAGATCAGGTGCTCTTAAAATTCAGGTATAGCCAAGCATACTAAACTTAGGACTGCTGACTTAAGGGCTAGCAACCTGTCAGTAGCACCCCTCTCCCTTACGCCATTTCTGTTCTGATGCCAAGTATGATTGTCATAGAATTTTTTTTTCACAAAAATCAATCATAGTATTTTTATGTAACGTTTAAACTTCCCTGGTTTTACCTACTTGGCTGTAGCGTTTCTTTTTTTGTTTTTTTTTCGTTTTTTAATCAAATTGCTTTAAAATATCCAGTTTCAAAAGCTTAATGAATAAATACAGGGAATCCAAAGTTGTTTTAGTGTTAGCTATTTGTGATTTTCACTGTACTCTAGCAAGATGTATTAACATAGTACATAAGTGGGGAAATATGTTTGTGTGTATAATAACTACACTGCAGCAGCACACCTTGATAAGGGTTGAGTTGTTGTTTGTTACGAAATCACATTTAAAGTGTATTAATCCGAATTTAGGGCTCTGCCAATAACTCTTTCTACTACCTTATTATATTCCATTTAGTGGAACATCTAGCCACTTCACTTGAAAAGCAGCTACAAGAACAGTGTTATTTCAAAGTCAATATTTCTTGCACCTCAGGCAGCTTCTTAAATCCCCCAAAGTGGTTTAATTAGTGTAGTTCGAGGCTATGAGCTAGTCAAGATAAATTCTAGAAGTATATCTTTCTCAAACAACTACTGGACATAGTGGTAAGGTTCATTATAATGCTGGAAAACGTTACTTTCCAATAATATTCTATCAGTGCAGGGGTGTAAAAGAATACTATAATATCATAAAGTATTTATGGCTCCTTAACTATTTTAACAATGGAGAAAGTTTAAACTAACTCAAAAAAAGAACAAAATATTGATACTACCAAATGACTATTTACAACTGCAACAATAAAGTCGTGTCCAAATCATCCTCTAAACTCAGACTTACTATCCAAAACAAACGATAATTACTGGAACTCGTCACTCCAGCGCATAATTCTTCTCGTGATTCATGACATTCGCACGTTTTACTGAAGTCACGACAGTACAAATTGCAACGTTAAGCGTCCTTATGTGACGCCATTTTAGTGTCTACTGACTGAATGATGGACAACATACTACTGTATAGTGGTGCAAATGGGTAAAACAGGTGACCCCTTCAGGCGGCCTTCGGCCCCCTTTCGTTGAAGTAACTATGTATATCAACAAAGTGTCTCCAATTAGTTTTCCCCTTTTTAAACGTGATAAGTTATAAAATATGAAAGGTAGATTACATGTTGATTTAGGTACCCTCAGGTTTTATATGTCCTCTGTATGACTCCTGTCGATCTCAGTGCCCTACTGCAGGTGTAATCGCCAGTTGTAAAATCATGGAGGTAAGAATATTCTTACCTAAATGTACCAAACACATTAACAGACAAAGCTCTTGAATTACGTTAATTGTTTACCTGATACGGGCCTTGAGATCGATATGCGTAGCTGGATGTGGGTGTAAGCTGTAAAATTGATGTGTCCCACAGCCAAAAGTTTAGCACCGCTATGTCTAGAGAGCAGTGTATCCAGTATTACAGCCCAGCATTTGGATAAGACATTGTCTAGTACCTCACAAAAATGGGATGATGTCCTGTCCTGTGTTACAGCTCAGCATTTGGATAAGACATTGTCTAGTACCTCAAGAAAATGGGATGATGTCCTGTCCTGTAAACAGAAGCACGTGTCAATAACACTATCACTTTTTAACTGTTAGAAGAAAAGACCTTCACCATGTCCACCTTTGTGGATTCAGTAACTGTCTTCGCTTTAAAAAAAACGTACTGTAGATCTTTCGTCGTAAAACAACCCACCAAACAGTTTCGCTTGTATTTTTTGTTGGTGTGTAGGTTTTCATTTACACAAATCCAAAAATTATTTCTATCAAGTCGCCTCATCGAAGATAATAATACATCTAAGGAACGTATCGTCATGATTCAACTGGTCGAGAAGCATGGTAGTCACAGTGTCTAGCCTCTTGTCCGCCTTGAGCAGCTGTTGCAAAATTTTGTACGCATGAAAATTCAGGTATGATTTTAAAGTCTTAAACACTGCGACCTTTGACATGTCAAGTTCAACAGAAGCCCTACTCACAAAGATTCTCGGGTTTCCTTCAAAAGACTCGGTTACTGAAGAAACAGTTTTTTTTACTTACACTCAGTCATCCAGTGTACTTTCAGAATACACTGAACCCATCGTCATCTTCTGTTGTTTTATTTTTTGTGATATCGCTTAACTGAATTATTTAATGGCGTTCATACATAACAGGATTATCAGAAGTAGCGTTACACGAAAACAACAGACTAGGGTACTGCACTACAAAACAAACTGTGCTTGTTTTTGCTGAAAAGTCACTATATTGGCACTATCTGTTGAGAAAATATTCAGTTTTTGTTTAGGCCAAAATAATCCAGATGGAATACAATCACT